TATATATACACACATTTATATGTATATGTATATATATATATATATATATATATATATATATATATATATATATATATATATGTACATATATGTACTATAAGACACTTGTCATGATTCACCAGAATAAAAAAAAAAAATGTTGCTTACATATCTATTTGACTTTGTGAATGTAAATGAATTTATATTTACATTAGCAAAATTATTCAAACATTCCATAGCAAAGCTTCGGAGATGCATAGCCATGATCTTCCAGAAACTCAACAATCTCGTGGAAATTCTTCTCCATCCACATGACGTTATTCCTGGCTCTTTCCTTCACCTGATCCGCGGTTTTTGTAACTTCTGCCAGATCGGTGTTTCTGTCTTGCAAGAAGTGCTCCAACTGCAGAATAAAGATATAGCTTATTGTGGAATTTATTAATAATGGATAACATTTCCGTGCATAAACATAGTGCATGATAAAGGAAGAACAGAAAAATCTGCATGAATGCGATCCTATTAACCTGTGAAGTTAAATGAAAACTATAGATATTGCTTTCATCTATATCTATTTCATCTTCTTTAGCGGTATTCATAATTCTTCGATCTACATTTTCTCACGTATTGACAAACAATCATCTAAAAAAAAAAATCAGCGCTATATTTTCTCAAACAACAAAGCTTATTATGGAATTTATCTTACATCCTTGATATCTCGAGGTGTATTAAAAGAGAGGGTTACTTGCCGCAGTAACATTCCTCTTTTCCTTTTCGCGCTGAAAGGAACGAAAGCATTAATTACAGCTTTTTTGTGTTGTGTATTGATAAAACAACGCTGGAAGGTAAAGAGAGTAAAATTTGTTGATAATAACTTCTATCAAAACTAGGATTAGATACCGAGTTAAGTTGGTAGTTTGAAGCTTTATATGAGTTACATGGTTGCTTTAGTATCTGTTCACCATAGCTTAACTTGCATTATCTTGGTGTTCCATTTTTACTGTGAAGATTAATAAGTCGTTTTATTTATTTTTTTACTGTTGATGTTTTTTCTTTTTTATTAAATAAAAAAAAGTGTGTACAACCTCTAACGTCTTTTCTTGATCTAATACTGAACACAAATCTATTGTGACTTACAACGGCAAGATGTCATTCCAGCGTTTTGTCAAGAAGGTCCAAGCTATCTGACGTCCGATACTGTTCTTCGCGACGGAATTGAAAATTATCTTAAAATCGTCTTTTCTTGTTCCCATGCTAGGGTTGAGACCAATCTCCAAGTATCTGCGAAAGAAATGCGAGTTTTAATTAAGGCAAACCTTTTAATTTTGTCGCTTCGACTTGTACCATATTTTTCGCCACATAAGACACATACTCTGAAAATTATCCTAAAAATCGCTTGCGTTCCTTGACGCGCAGATACCTTTTGGGCAAAGCCAATGAATGACCAAAGTTCAGCTATGCTGGTTTTCTTTACTTGATATCCTCTGAAATCAATGGCATGAATGATGTATTTGTCGTAAGTTCGTGGCCCTCCATGCCATGAGATCCGGGGGTGAATGGTCGCGTTGTAATAAAATACTTCAGTAAAATTAACTCGTATCTATTTTTATGGCGACTGCTGGTACTTCTCTTTCCCTCGTTCATCCTTCTCCATCTACATTTCGCTTCCCTCCTCCTTTTTCCCTTCGCTTTCCCGCTCTGCCACCCCTTCTCACTCCCAAATCTACTTTACATTAACGCCTCCTCTCCCAATTTTCTTTCGTCCACCCCCTCCACTTCTCTTTTATCCCTCCCTAAACCCCCCTCTTAATTCACTCCTTTTCCCCCTTCTCCTTTCCCATTCCCCCTCTAAGCTTACATCTGTATCGTCTTAATTTCTTATTATGTATCATATTTCCGTTACTTTGTATCTATAATTGGGCATTTATCTATCTACCTGTCTCTCTATCATGTAAGAGCGGTAACGGAGGAGAACCATGGAGCAACGATGCAACAGAGAAAACTAAGTAGTAACGGAAAAAGACTGCAAGTTCCGGTGTAACAGAAAATAGTCTCTTAAAGAACACCACATATTGTTCTCGAGAATAATCTCACAGAAAGGAGCAGGTAGTTGATGGAAATTTGGATATTACGTAAAAAGCGACTTTCTCTATATTATACGAAAGATGGGTTACTTTCCGTATATTTAGCGACTCGGTTTTACGTTGCACAGGTAGAGGGGCAACGCATTTTTCTTAATGGTACTAAGGTTAAATCCTATCTCCTAGTGTCTGCAAAAAAAAACGACATAATATAATAGTAATGTATAACCATTATCTTTTACTATAAACTGTTCCACTCGAGCCAAACTTACCTCGACAAAATGGTGACATTTCTACTGCATCCTAGAGGCTCGAGGAAGCTGATTTTCTCATTCTCAGCGTTGGAACTCAGGTACTCGTTCCAGACGAAGTTCCATTCCCTCTCGCCGCCTGCCTTTATGGCCGTGCACATCACCTCTGACCGACGGTTTGGAGAGATGATA